CCGGAGCCTGTGCTCCGCAATGGGAAAGGCCACGAGGCCACAACAGTGAGAGGCCCGCGTACCGCAAAAAAAAAAAAAAAAAAAGAAATTGGAAGGAATCTGAACTTTGAAGAGAATGGATAATAAATTATCATATATTCACTAAGTGGGAAACTATATAGCAGTAAAAGTGAATGAGCCAGACTGAGCATACACATCAATATAGACAAAACTCAAAAACATAAGACTGAGTGAAAAAAATCAGGCTCCAGAAGAATACATGCAATGTGATGCTATTTATTTAAGATGTAATCACATGTAAAGCAATTTCATACATTGTTCACAGATCCATACATATGTGATAAATGCATGAATAAGAGCATGGGGATGATAAACACCGAATTCAGGAGAATACCTATGTGGGGAAAGAGGAGTATGGAGGGCAGGAGTGGGGCTTCAAACAGGATTGATCAAATTTTTTATTTCTTAAATTTGAGTAGTACATGGGTGGTTCTTGTATTATTCTTTATGTTGTTTGTGTGCTTTAAAGATTTCACAGGAAGACAAACAAACAGCAAACTAACGAAAACCTAAACCCAAAGAGTGACCACTTAGAGTTGGGGGAGAGCCTAGCTGGTATCAGGAGATCTGAGCCTCAGTCCGGTTTGTCCCTGGATTTCATGTTCCAACGTGGCAAAGTCACTTCTCTCAGGATGAGACGCAAGAGCCTCATTCTGGAAAAGAAGAGAAAGAATCAGTCTTGAGCATCAGGGGAGTTGGTGGTGCGAGGAACTGGCGCTTGCGCTTAATGCACGTCAGCGTCCTTTCTTTGCTTCTCCAGCTGCGGTGACCTGCAAGCTGGCACCGGAGCTGGGTCGGGGATGGGGAGAGCCATCGGGGAGGGGCGTCGGGCGGTTACAGCTGGAGGCAGTAGGGCAAAGGGAGAGGGGGGTGCTCCGCTGCGTCCGGAGTCCAAGGACTCCGGGCAGACCCCCCAGTGAGCGAACCGAGTCCTCACCGCGTGTTGTGCCCGGGTTCTCAGCCTCCGTGGGCTTTGGTCACCGAGCTGCGCGGCCCACGACAGCGAGGGGCGTTTCTTTCCGGACCCCTGAGGACCGGGCTCCAGAGCAAGGCTGCCAGGTCTAGAGCGCATTGTTTTGAGAACCACGCAGAAGGAGCTTCCAGTTACTGTGACTCACGGGGTGCCAGGCTTCATGCTCTTCCATCTTCACTACTGCCCTAATGCACAGAGGGAAAGTGACCTGCCTAAGGTCACACCGCAGGTGATTGTAGCTTATTACTTGTATATCCTTAAGCAAGTTACTTAACCTCTCTGGGTCCAGTTTTCCTATGGGTAGAGTGGGTGCAAAATTATGTGTGTATCTGGAAGGAAGACTCCCTACCAAAGTATTAAGAGATATTTCTACCTGGTGAGGTAATGGGTGATATTTTTTCTTTCGGTTTACCTATATTTTCTAATTTGTTGTTTTATAGTAAATATGTACATATTTAATTATTTTTATTTTTAAGAGAGTAACACTGCACAGAGTTGTGAGGACTGAAGGAGACTATGAAAAGCACAGAGCACAATTTCTAGTTCACAGTGTGTTCTCCATAAATGTGAGTTCTCCCTGCTCACTCTTCCCTCCTACACTTTCCTTCCCCTCTGGTTGGAGACTCTGGCCCCCTGACCTCAGGTTGGGAGGAAGGAGGGGTCTATTTACTAGCTGTGTGGCTTTGGATAAATCACTTGACCTCTCTGAGTCTCAGTTACCTTCCCTGCAGAATGGGAAGAAAAACACCTACCTCAAAGAAAGTTTTCAAGGACTACATGACATGCAAGATGGGAAACTGCCTGGCACATAGTAGGTCTGCAGTAAGTGTCTGTAGGAAGAAACATGACACACATGATGAAGGAACAGGCATTAGAGTAGGTTCTAGACCAGAAGAGGTAAAAGATTTTAGCATAGATTCCAAAGAGCCCAAGGGGTCCATTGATAGAGGTTCAGCATGGGAGAGGTCCATGAACTTGTATTGAAAAAGATTACATCCTTGGGCTTCCCTGATGGCGCAGTGGTTGAGAATCTGCCTGTCAATGCAGGGGACACGGGTTTTGAGCCCTGGTCTGGGAAGATCCCACATGCCGCGGAGCAACTAGGCCCATGAGCCACAATTACCGAGCCTGCGTATCTGGAGCCTGTGCTCCACAACAAGAGAGGCCGTGATAGTGAGAGGCCCGCACACCGCGATGAAGAGTGGCCCCCGCTCGCCGCAACTAGAGAAAGCCCTCGCACAGAAACGAAGACCCAACACAGCCAAAAATAAATAAATAAATATTAAAAAAAAAAAAAAGATTACATCCTTGTTTTCACTACCTCTAAGTCAAATTTAGCATTTCCTTGTATCATGCATGTAAGCAACAAATCACAGTAGTATTAGCAGAACCTGTGACTTTGTCACCAATAGAAATCAGTTATTTTTGTATTGCATTACAGTAGCAATATCTTGAAGTACTGTTTACACTCATTCACCATCTCAAAGTTACAATAGTTAATAGACGAATCTCTCTATCTCATTATTTAATATGTTAAAAAAGAACTAATTTACAAAATAACTATTTTGATAATGATTCTACATAATTGGTATCCTTTGTAATCCTAAGTAATTTACTTTTTGTAGTTAAAAATATTCTTCTGAATAGGGGACCGTAGTCTTCATTAGACTGCCAGAGAGGACCCTTGGCTAGACAGACATGGATACTAGTCCTGCCTGGGCCACTGGCTGCTTTGGGACATTGGCCTTGTTATTTCTCTCAGGGGCACGATCATCCCTGCTTGGCTCGCTCCACAGGGTTGCTGGAGGAACAAATAAATTCTTGGCTAGAAAAGGGCTTTGGAAACTGTTGACAGCTTCCCAATTTTGCCAAAAGCCAGAGCAGAGTGCTTTGCACATCACAGCTGAATCCCATGTCTCCAGGAGACCCCGATCCTTTCCACAGGACTCCACCCTTTCTCTTTGCTCTCCATCTAATAAAGAGGCCAAAGTGCACCTCCATTAGAGTAGTCATACAGCTCCCAGTTTCCAGAGATTCACAGCCGAGGGGAGGAATTTTCTGGAGGATAATAACAATTCCTTCCAGTTTTCATATTTGACCTTACAGTGACCCTTGAAGACACTACCCCCTCAAAACTCTTCCCTTCTCCTTCAGAGGGTGATCCCTCTGTGGCCATGGTCCCTGAATTTCCCCCTTCACTGCCGTGTCCTGTCATCATCTGTCCGACTCCCCCACTATACAGTGTTTCTCAAGGGCAGACCCAGATCTGATCTCTCTCAGGGGCCCCAGAGCCCAGGTCAAGGGCATGGCACACATCAGTATCTGAGGAGCTGACCTGGATGAAGGAAAGGAACCTGAAGCACAGAGAGAAAAAGCAGAGAAGGGGTAGAGCTAGGGCTTGAGCCCAGATCCCCTGACGCCCATGATTTATCCCATACACACTGAAAGCAAGGGATGGAGTTATTAGGGACTCCCAAGGCATCACATTAGCTATTTCCTACTCTACCCACTGCTGTGAGAAATGAGGAGAGCTAAATATTTTGTAATCTTGAGTGAGTCCCTGCCCATCTGTACAATGGGAGGTGTCAGATTCAGTGGCTTTCAAACCTTTTGACCTGACTCAAAATAAGAAATGCATTTTACATTGTGATCTGGACCACAGTACATAGAGACACATGTAAATGAAACAAACATTTTACGAAAGAATACTTAACTTTGCTATTTTCAGTGTGCATTTTCTATTCCATTAAATTTTTTTTTTAAATGCCAGCTGTAACTCAGTAACTGATTACATGACCCATAGGTCCTTTTCAGCCCCAACATTCTGTGATTGGCTGAATGGGAAGTATTGACAACTAAAGTTCAGCAGTCCCTAGTCCTGGTTCAGTGTAATTGGGCCATACTGTGCACCTCTCAGAGCCTGGGTTTCCCCAGTGTACCCTGAGAGGACAGACAGGCAGTCTCCAAAGGCTTCATACAGTTCCTTCAGACTGTGGTTCTCTGATCCTAGTGAGAACACCGACCTTGTGATCTGGAAATGATGTGTGAGAACGGAGAGGTGTGTTGGCTTTGCTTCCTGCTGGGTGGAGTTACCATCTGGACATCTACTAGCCCCCCTTGTCCTAGGCCAGTGTGGCAGAGAGTATGAACAGGGGAGCGTGGACATGTCAGTGCATGAGTTAGCTGCTCAGGGAAAGGAAGTGGCAGGCAAGGAAGCCAGAGGATGACAACATATAAAAGTCACTGGAAAAGAGGTGCTGCGAGAACCCCAGAAAGAGCAAGGGCTTGGGAACAAGACAGACCCACGTTAAAATCCCATGGGCTTAAGAGCCCCGGAAAATGGCTTTAATTTGACCCTAAGCTCTCATTTATAAAATGAGTATGAAAATCCCTGGTCCTCTGGGTTGTTGTGAAGGTTAAGTGAGGTCGTGCATTGATCATCCCTATACTGAACCTACTGTGTGATCCATGGCAGGTCCCCTGTCTGTGTCCTGCACTAGCCTGGGACTGCCCCTCACAGCGCCTAGCACAAGGGCGGGTGCTCAGCGCAGATGTGGAATCCAAGCCGGTGGCTTGATTCCCGCTCTGCCACCCCGGACATGCGCTGTCTCTCTGAGCACCCAGCGCCCTAGTGCATAAACTGGGAACGTAGTGGGGCCGGTGGGGGACGCTGGCAGAGACGCGGGCGGCTCCCTCCTCCCGGCTCCCGCCCGCCTTCCCGCCGCTCTCCACGCCCTCCTCCTCCCTCTCCCTCCCCCCTCCATCTCCCCTCCTGCCGAGCCCTGTCGGCGTACCTGGTCGCCTCCCTCCGTCCTCGGGGACTCTAGGTCTCTAACCGCTGCGTCTCCGCGCCCCTCGCTGTGTCTTCCTCGTCTCTGAGTCAATCTCTGTCTCTCTGCGTATCTCTGCCTCTCTCCTTGTATCTTTCTCGGGCTCAGCTCTGTCTCCGTCCGCTCGTCTCTCGGCGGCCGTCTTCTGCTGCGGCTTCCGCGACCACAAGTACTGCTGCGACGACCCGCACAGCCTCTCCCCCTACGAGCACAGCTACATGTGGTGGCTCAGGTACTGGCCCTGGCCCTAGCCCCACCTAGAACCCCACTCCAGTCTTAGCCCCCGTGCTCCATCCTCGGCCCAGCCGCCTGCTAAAGTCTCAATCCTCATCCAGGTGCCCACCACAACGTCAGCACCGACACCCACCCAGTCGTTACCCCCTCAGGCACTCGCCCTGTCACCAACCCAGCTCCCCCTGCGGCCGCTTCTCCGCTCTATTCCCCCATTTTGACCCAACCATTATTCAGATCCATCCTTGAACCTCACACCAACTCCACCCTGAAAAACCTTCACTTCATCCCCACTCCAAACATCATCATCCACCACCCTCAGCCCAACCTCAAACTACATAACAAGCCCCAGCCTAACAGCAAACTCCCATCTTGCAGCCTTCACAGGATACCCAGACTCCTCCCTTATCCAAGTACCCACCAGGGTCCCCTCCCTAATGCCATCATCAGCCTCATCCCTGACCTAACCCACCCCCCAGTACTTACTCTATCAGCAGCCCTAACCTCCGCCTCAGTCCTCCCTGCAACCCCACCTCAGCTCTCCTTCCTCACCCCAACTCCAAACATTATCTAGACCTACAATCAAACCTCACTCTCAAGCCTTAATACCTCACCTGATGCTACACCCCAACTCAACCCGAGCCTCAGCCCAACCTCAATTCTTTTGTTCCCCCTCATTCTTTCAGCCACCCCTTCCTGAGGCCTTAGCAATGCCAGACCCTGTGGTGAGTTCTGAGCTAAGGCAGAGGACCAAAGACTCAGAGTTGCCTCCAACTTCATAATGAGACAATGACATAATGCCACAGCAGAAGCCAGATCAGTGTAATTTGGGTGAATCCCCACCACAGGACCTCAGTTTCCCCACTAGTTCAGAGAAGCAGGTGGTTAGGCCAGTGCTGACATTCCTGGAACCTAAGTGTGGGACTGAGAGGGCAACAGGTCTCAATCTCTGTGGGTTTCCAAAGGCCTCACCCAGAGAATAGGACCTGACCCTGAGCCTGCTCTGGGAAACAGGCATCAACGAAAATGGAGTGGGCCGCCTCAGTAGACAGTGATCTTCCTGTCTCTGGAAGTATGTGACCAGAGGCTGTATGCCTGCTGGGTGGGAAAGGACAGTCTGCCTCTAAAAGCTCTCTGAGCCTCTCTCTTTTCATCTATTGGTTGGGGAGGATGATTTCTGACTAGGGCAGGGACCAAATGAGATCAAGAGGTAAAATCAACTTGGCATATGCCACTAACAATTACAGATATTATTGGTTTTCTAGACTGCTCAATTTGTAATTCCAGAGGATTTTCAGATGGCCAGGTTTTCAGATCCTGCACATTTGGCTGCTGTCACCTGGGGAATTATATTCATATATTCTCTGTTCATCCATATTTTCATTCATTCATTATAGCCTTTGCTTTGTGCCAGGTGCTAGGCTAGGCACTAGAGACACAGAAATCAATGATTCCCTCTCTGAGGAGTTCACAGTCCATTTAAAGAGATATGATGTGCATCTAAAATATAACAATGGAGTACTTGTTGAAGACCGACTGTGTACTTAGTACTGAGCTGAGTATTGAAATATGACAGCGCTGACCTCCCTTTGAGGTATGGAAGCAGTGTGGAGCGTTGGGGCTGGTTAGAACCTGGTCCAAACTTTGGCTCTGTCCCTTATTAGCTGTGTGAGTTTGGGCAAATTATCACCGAGTCTCTTGTCATCTTTAAAATGGCAATAGTAATACCTGTCTCATGGAATTATTGTGAGGATTAAGTGCAATAATGCATGTGAAAGTGACTAGTGCATATAGTAGGTGCTCAATAAAAGAGAGTTCCCTTTCCCTGGTTCATAGGTGGGGAAAGTGAAGCTCAGAATATGAAAGTGAATTGTCCAAGACCTTCCAGCAATGTCATGGTACACTGAGATTTAAAGAACATTACCTAACACCATCCAAGGGCTAGATACATTCACAACCCTGGCACATCATCTCTCCATCTTACAGATGAGAAAACTTGAGAGAGGTTAAGTTACTATCTTAGAGTACCCCAGTGAGAGGAAGTGGCAGAACTGGGATGAAAACTCAAGCCTGTCTGGTCCCAAGCCCAGGCTTGAGCTGCTGCACAAATGTCTAAATCTAGCCTGGCTCTCATAACCTGTTCTACTCAGATCACTTGAAAAGATACTCACTGACCCTCTGCTGTCTTCTGGACACTGTTGTAGCACTTGGAGACACAGAGATGAGTAAACTCCTCAGCACCCAGCCAGGATCCCATCCCACTACTACCACCCTCTTCCCTATACACCCCTTGTGGTCCCTCTCCTTGCCTTGGACCCTCTTGAGACATAGAGTGCTTTAGTGGCTCAGACAGTGAGCTAGAGGGTTGGATGGGGTGATCTCTGAGGTCACATTGCATGTTGTGTGCTTCCATTCTATGACCCCAAGGGCAGCTGAAACGTTCTAGCCTGCAGGGCTGACTCTTCCTAGGCATGGCTATAATATGGTTCATAAACATCACAGACAATTGCAAAGTGGAGGAGGGAAACTGGGGTCCTCAGGACATTAGGTGATCAGTATACTCCAAACCCTGAAACAACCCTTCCGGCATGGGATGTCAGAGCCCTGCCATTGCAGGGTGGAGAACTTATTTTGTTCTGGACTCCGTTTGGCCCTTTTCATGAAAGCTGGCCCTTAAAAACATGAAAATCAGCAGGTAAACACTGTTTCCTTGGGTAGTGCTCAAGAAGAATTGCTGTCTTTAAAAGCATGTCTCAGGACTTCCCTAGTAGCACAGTAGTTAAGAATCCGCCTGCCAATGCAGGGGACATGGGTTCGAGCCCTGGTCCAGGAAGATCCCACATGCCGCGGAGCAGCTAAGCACGTGCACCACAACTACTGAGCCTGTGCTCTAGAGCCCGTGAGCCACAACTACTGAAGCCCGCGCGCCTAGAGCCCGTGCTCCACAATGAGGGAAGCCACTGCAATGAGAAGCCAACGCACCACATCGAAGAGTAGCCCTCACTCACAGCAACCAGAGAAAGCCCACGTGCAACAATGAAGACCCAACGCAGCCAAAAATAAATAAATAAAATAAATAAATTGATTTTTTTAAAAAAGCATGTCTCAGGAAATGAAGACTCCCTGTGGAAAAGCAGCTGGTGCTATCACATGTCTGGCTGACTTTCCAAACATCCTTTAGCAATAGTTCTGGTTTTTTTTTTGTTTTTTTTTTTTTGCAGTACATGGGCCTCTCACTGTCGTGGCCTCTCCCGTTGCGGAGGGCAGGCTCAGCGGCCATGGCTCACGGGCCTAGCCGCTCTGCGGCATGTGGGATCTTCCCGGACCAGGGCACGAACCCGTGTTCCCTGCATCGGCAGGCGGACTCTCAACCACTGCGCCACCAGGGAAGCCCCAGTAGTTCTGTTTTTTATCAGGATGTGAGCCAAAGGTAGCAGCCTTGCTGGAGGCAGAACTGGCGGTCAGGCACTGTATATACACTATCTCATTTAATCTTTATGGACACTTGGTGATATAGTAACTTTTATGAATGAAGAAAATGAAGCTCAAAAGGTGAAGGATTTTTCAGCTTATATGTGAGAGAACCAGGATTCACACTTAGAACTGTCTGACTCAAAAACCCTAACAAAGGGGCTTCCCTGGTGATGCAGTGGTTGAGAGTCCGCCTGCCGATGCAGGGGACACGGGTTCGTGCCCCGGTCCGGGAGGATCCCACATGCCGCAGAGCCGCTGGGCCCGTGAGCCATGGCCGCTGAGCCTGCGCGTCTGGAGCCTGTGCTCCGCAATGGGAGAGGCCACAACAGTGAGAGGCCTGCGTACTGCAAAAAAAAAAAACCCTAACAAATGTTAGACCATCCCTCCAGTTCTTTCCTAGAAGTCACAGTGGATTACCTATCTTTCAGAGTCATAGATCTGTGAAATCCTAGAAGGCTAGCAGCTCTTCAATCCAATTTCCCACCATAGGCAGGAATCTCTAACTTCATTGAAAGGTGGATTCATCCAGGTCTTGTGCAAACCTGTCTGACAATAGGAGACTTATCACCTCTTGAGGCAGTACATTCACCAAGGGAAAACTGATCATTTGAGTTCATCTTATACTGAGTACAGATTTTCCCCCTTGGACCCTCCCTTGTTGTTCCCAGCTCTGTCCTTGGGAGCTTGTTCCTCCGTTCCCAGACAGACCATCAGAGCAGTGCCCACTACCAGACTGACCGCTGATCTGGAATATATCCCCCCAGCTTTCTCACCCACTCCTCAAAGATCCTACTTTTACAGGGCTTTTTCCAGCTAGGTGCCCATGGATGTCCCTTGTAAAGGGTGTGGTCCCAACCTGAGCACGAGTCTTCCAGATAACAGCCTTATAAACAGTGAGTATATCTCAAGAAAGGAAATAATACTTAGTTAAATAGTAAACTAAAAAGTAGTAAACTAGTACTAAGAACGAAAAAGTACTATATGCTCAATGTGGAAAATGTGGAAAGGACAGGAGAAACAAAAAAGGAAAGCAACCGTGAGAAATCCAGTGTCTTAGCTTGGGCTGCCCAGAAGACTTGGAAACAAGGATTTGAGGGCAAGTAGTTTAGATGACCAGAAATCCTAGAAAAATACTGGTACAGGGTGGGGAAGTGAGATGGGAAAGGGAAGGAGCTAATGATGGTGTTACCAAGCAAGTCACCACCAAGGGCCACCAGAGCTTAAACTGCTGAACTCTGCCAGCCAGTGTAGAACGTACTCTCAGAGTCATCCCATACCTGGCCTTCCTGAGGGCCAGGAAGCTGGGTATTTACATACCAATTTCTTTCAGTCATTGGCTGTGTGCTGGTGGGAGAAGGGATGCATTAATTTTCCTGTACTTTTGACTGATCAACGTGCAGGGCCCAAGAAAGCCCTCAGACAAAGAGATACATTTGCGGGCTTTTGAAACCCTGGCCAGAATATTCCACAACTGTAAGACCCAATGGGACACAGACAGGACATCCACAGCCTGTGCTACTCCCAGAGACAGCCCATGAGCATTTTAGTGTATTTACATCCAACCTTACCTATGCTATGTTATGCATGTATATGTTATGTTTATGTTTATTTATTTAAGTTAGGACTACACTATATAATTAGTAGTGGGTCCTGCTTTTTTCACTTAACATTATCTCATCAGAATTTATCCTTACGAAATTGAGCTCTTTGTAATGAGGTGGATAGACCTAGAGTCTGTCATACAGAGTGAAGTAAGTCAGAAAGAGAAAGACAAATACCGTATGCTAACACATATATATGGAATTTAAGAAAAAAAAATGTCATGAAGAACCTAGGGGTAAGACAGGAATAAAGACACAGACCTACTGGAGAACGGACTTGAGGATATGGGGAGGGGGAAGGGTGAGCTGTGATAAAGCGAGAGAGAGGCATGGACATATATACACTACCAAACGTAAGGTCGATAGCTAGTGGGAAGCAGCCACATAGCACAGGGATATCAGCTCGGTGCTTTGTGACCACCTGGAGGGGTGGGATAGGGAGGGACACGCAAGAGGGAAGAGATATGGGAACATATGTATATGTATAACTGAGTCACTTTGTTATAAAGCAGAAATTAACACACCATTGTAAAGCAATTATACCCCAATAAAGATGTTAAAAAAAAAAAAGAATTTATCCTTGATCTTAAATATTATTTGCAACTATTCCACTGCAGGGATATCCAATAATTTATTTAGCCTTGGGAAAACACACTCTCCAAAGCTCTAAGGTGTTTCTGTTTAGTGGAAGTTAGCCATCAGCTAGCTGGGAGTGAAATCCAACAGAAATGGCAAAGGCAGGAATCTGAGGCTGGGGTCAGGGCTGGGGGGGTGGGGCAGAAAAGCTGCAGGAATCACAGGCAGAAAGGGCACACAAACAATCCTGGTGCTACCTATCCCCTACTATTGGGAGAACATCCCACAGTGTTTGACACAAAGTAGGTACTCAATAATAGTTACTAAGTGCCTACTATGTGCTGGAGCTTGTACAAGGAGAGAACAAAGCCAGTTAAACACGGTCTCAGTCTCCCTACAAAGAACACGTGAGGAATATGTTGAACTTCTATGCACCAAGAATATTACATATATCATTCATCCTCACTACCACCTGTGAGGTGCTGTGTTTTGATCATTCTCACTTTTCTGACAAAGAAGCTGAGGCTCAAAAGGCTAAGTAATTTCATCAAGATCTCACATTGAGTTAGGTACAGACCTGGGTCCTAAACCAGGTGGGTCTGTAAGAGTTCCAAAGCTCTTTGTTCTTTCTCTACCACATTGCGCTGCCTGACCAAGTAGGAAGTGCTAGAGGCCCAGAGTAGGTGTCCTGGCTGGGTGGGCCTGGCCTGGAAGAAGAAGGGAGAGAGAAAGAGGACCAAGGAAGGCGTTGAGGAGAAGAGCATTTGAGATGCGCCTTCAAGGACAGGTGAAATTCTGATGTGGGGAGATGATGGGAGAGGCCATGTGAAACAGGAAAGACAGTGGCCCGCCAAAATGAGCCAGAAGGTAGTTGTCTGGAGACCAGGTGGCCAAGGCCTGACTTGGGGCAGAGGCAGTGAGGTTGTGGGGTGAGGGACCAGCAGCAGGGAGGTGTTCTAGACATGGAATCCACATTGGCGTGATGACCCACTAGAGACTGGGTCAGAAATTACCTTGAGGCTGGAAGGACAGCGGGTATTGAACTAAGGCCTGCGACGTGTCTTGATTTTTGATAAATTTATTTATTTTTGCCTGCGTTGGGTCTTTGTTGCTGCGTGCAGGCTTTCTCTAGCTGCGGCGAGCAGGGGCTACTCTTCGTTGCAGTATGCAGGCTTCTCATTGTGGTGGCTTCTCTTGCTGCAGAGCATGGGCTGTAGGCATGCGGGCTTCAATAGCTGTGGCACGTGGGCTCAGTAGTTGTGGCTCGCGGGCTGTAGAGCGCAGGCTCAATAGTTGTAGCACACGGGCTTAATTGCTCTGTGACTTGTGTGATCTTCCTGGACCAGAGCTTGAACCAGTGTCCCCTGCATTGGCAGGCGGATTCTTAACCACTGTGCCACCAGGGAAGTTCCTTGATTTTTAAGAAACAGCTGTGTGGGGAGGGCTCTTTAAGATCATCTCTAGCTTCCTGGGGTGGGAGCAGGTTGAGGAAAGGAGAGGAGAAGAAAGGGAACACATACTGAGTCCCAACTACATGGTGACACTGAGCCATGTCAAGTTATGTATGTGGTGAGTACTTGCCACATAGTTGATGCTCTCTCCCATGCTTAGGCCCAGAAAGCCTGTTTAAGGCAAGGAGAGACAGAACAAATGTTAAAAGTCGGCTGACTCTTATAACACCTACAATACTTCTCTTACAACATGCTGCTTCCCAAGTCCTTTCCTGACCCTCTGCTCCCTTATGGTTTTCTCTCCCCAGTATTGGTGCTCTTCTGGGCCTGTCCATAGCAGCAGTGGTCCTCCCGGCCTTCATTGTCACTGCCTGTGTGCTTTGTTACCTGTTCATCAGCTCAAAACCCCACACAAAGTTGGACCCAGGATTAAGCTTACAGACTACAGGTAAGAAAGAGGTCACATTTCCTTGTATTCAGCAGGTTAGCACCTTTGCAGAGGGGAGATATTTAGAAATTATGTTTGGGACATTTGCCTCAAAAGTGTTTCTGGAATATTCTGAAGCAGCAGCACATTTCTCAGGAGGTTCATGATATGAACATTTCCATTCCAAACTCTTCCATGTGCTCATTGTTAATCAAAATAATTTGGTTATAGTCAGCATCCTATTTGTTACAGGAAGATGTTATTAAACATCCTACAATATATAGGACAGCACCCTACAATAAGGAATTATCTGACCCAGAATGTAGTGCGGATGTTGAGAAACCCTAGAATAGAGACTCCAGAAACAGACTAATTAAAGAATATAATAACATGAATAAAATGTTTAATTTTAAAAATAAGGGAAATATTGGCAAATTTGCCTACATCAAATACAAATAGATATCAAGTACAAATAATACAAAGGATACCATACATAAAGTTAAAAAACAAGTGGTGGACTGCAAAGATATAAATACACACACACAGTCAATCCTAATTGTTTGCAGATTCCATACTTGTGAATTTGCCTACTTGCTAGGATTAATTTGTAACTCAAAAATCAATACTTTCAGTGTTTTTGAGGTCATGTGCAGATGTGGATGTACACAGAGCAACAAAAAATTTGAGTTACCCGATCACACACATTCTCAGCTGCGGTTGAACAAGGAAGGCCATGCTCTGCCTTCTTGTTTCTGCTCTTATACAGTAAACAAGCGTCCTTTTCGTGGTATATTTAGTGCCACATTTTTGCATTTTTATGATTTTTGTTGGCGGTTTTGCTGTTGAAAATGACCCCCAAATTAATGCTGAAGTTCTGTCTAGTATCCCTCAGCACAAGGCTGTCATGTGCCTTATGGAAAAAATACATGTGTTCAGTACACTTTGCTCAGACAGGAGGTATAGTGCTGTTGGCCATGAGTTAAATGTTAATGAATTAGCAATATATATTAAATAAAGTGTTTTTAAACAGAAACACACACAAAACAAAGTTATATATTGATTGACTGACAAAATTGTGACCAGAGGCTCACAAGAACCTAACTTTGTATTTCCCCAAGGAGCAATAATTCAGTATTCGCTAATTCAGTATTTGTGGTGACTTTTTAGAACATAACTACAGCGATTAATGAGAATCAACTGTATCTAAAATAGAGACAGGATTGATATCCAGAATATATAAGCATATCTTAGAACAAGTGAGAAAAACATAATCCACTAAAAAGTACAAATGCCCAACACACACGAAAAGAGGCTCAACCTTACTAATAATCAAGAGAATGCAATTTAAGAATGACATACCTTTTTTAAAAATGATTACATTGGCAAAACTCCAAAAATGGATCACATTAATAGTGAGAAGGTTACATGGGGGGAATGGATACTCTCATATACCACTGATAAGAATAAATTGGTAAAACCACTTTGTAGAGCAATTTGGCACTATCCATTTAAACTAAAAATGTACATACCCTATAACTCAGTAATTCCACTTTTCTAATTATCTACCTTAGAGATATAGTTGCACTAGGAGAGGACTTGTAAAGATGGATTCCATGACAGCTTGTCACACTGGAAACAAACTAAATGTCCATCAGTAGAGGAATAATAAAATATGATACTGCAGTTAAAAGGAGTGAATTAGCTCTAAATAGACCATCTCATTTGCTCTTCACAATAACCAGGCAGAGTACAGAACTTATTACTATCCATTTTACAGATCAGGAAACCGAGGCCTCAGTCACCTAGTGAGTGAGTGACAGAGCCAACTCCACCTCCACCTTCCTTCCTCTCCTTATCCCTGTGCTGAGAAAGGGAAGTCCCTACTTTATGCCAGATACCATTTGAAACTTTACATGCACTATCTTGTCTAATTTTCCAAACTACACCAGTGAGGTAGGTGTTATTATCATCCATGTTACAGATGTGAAAACCAGGTTCCAGGGAGGTCAGATAACTTGCCCAAGGGGTCACAGTTTGTAAATTGCGGAGCTGGAATTCAAATATGTGTGTTTTTCTGCCTCCAAAGTCCTACTCTTTCTACCTCACCAGGCCAGGTGTGTGGGGTGCTTCTGCTTGTGCCCTGCTCCCCTCATCTCTCCCCACCCTATCCCCTGTAGCCTTTCTAACTCAAGGGAACACAGTTCACCTGTCTGTCGATCCTGTGAATGAAAACCACCCTCCTGCTTTTCACTGCTCAGCCACCAGCTGGATTATTCAATTATTCAGTCACCAGGGTTTGACACAGCTTGTGTTCTTGCTATTTGCTTCTTATTTTTCAGATGGAAAATGCATTTCCTGATTGTTCACTAAATGACAGTTTTGGGCTCTCTCTGCCTTTTGCTCAAACTCAGCTCTTAGCACCTCCCTTTTTTCTTCATTAAGTGCTGTCCTCTCCTTCCTCTGAAACCACAGCATCAACCCAGGAGCCTCTTGTCCCTCCTGCATCTGAGACGTGTACAGGCCGCTACCTTACACTCATCAGAGCTTGCCCCCTTACAAAGACTTTCATCTGTTTCCAGCTCCTTCTCTGGGGGGACATGTAGAGAGATCATTAGCCCCATTTTACAGGAGAGGAAATCAAGGCTCAGCCAAAGGAAGTGAGTGGCCAAGTCTACACAGCTGGTAAGCAGGTACTGCTGGGATGTCAACCCCGATCTCCCGACTCTAAAGCCCACACTCATTGCACATGGTACCTGGGGTCCTGATCTCTGAGTCTGGGGGCAAGGACGGGATGGGGAGTTCCTTGGCATGAGCAGAATGGAAATAGAACAGAGCTTCTGAAAATAGGCTCCTTCTGCTGCCCAGATGTTCTGTACTGTCCCATTACCCCCACCCTACCCCATCCCTCAAACCTGGGATGCAACAAAGACTGTAAACTTTTTTATTCTTGTACTTTGTGAGGAACTAGCTTGATCAGAAGGCTGACCAAGCTTCTGCGTTTGTGCTGGGCACTATGCCAAGGACTTTAAACATATTATCCCATTTAACCCGTTCAACTACTCTACCAGGTGGTTATTATCAATCCTATTTTACAGATGAGGTGAGTGAGGTAAGTGTGGAGTTGATATTCCAACCTAGGTACCTTTAATAAGAGACAAAATTGGGGGGGAAAAAAAGAAAGAGTTCAGTTCTCATCCTCCTCTGAAAAGTGTTGGTGGGGATATCATTAATCAGCCATTCTCACTAATTCATAGGGCTCCTAGAAATCAAGTCTGATGTTCTCACTGTATCAATGGGTTGCTGAGGCCCAGAAAGGGACATTCATGTGCCCAAGGTCACCCGGGCAACTGGCCAAGCCTTTGCCTCCTGGGCCAAAGGTCTTTTCCTGTAGCAGGCCCTCTTACCTTCCAGGTTCCACTTCCTCAGAGCCCACTGCTTTTTAATTAACCACACTTGGGAAGGTAGTACCTATGACCCAAACAAGCCTCAGTGATGGGTCAGTCTTGACTCATCTCCAAGCAGGGAGAGAATCTCCTTTCCTGGCTGGTCCTTTCCTGGCTGGTCACTACAGGCTAAGACCCCAGGTAATGGGGGGACTGGCCGAAAGGTCCCTGGAGAAAGGTAGGGCTGGGGTGTCAGAGAACCTGGCTCTAATCCTGGCTTTGTCACTCTCATTGTGTGGCCTTAGGCAAGTCACTTCTCTCTGGGCCTCAGTTTACTCTGTAAAATGTGTACAATAATACCCACCAAGAAAGCTGTAAACCTAGAGGTGATGCTTACATAGGAGCTATTTAGTCTCTGATACATGGTAGACTTTTAACAATGAGCAACCCTCATTTTTATTATTATTAGGCACTTAGATTTTTACATGTTAGTCTCCTCAACCTGTCTGTTAATATCTCAAATATAGGAACCATGTCTTAAGTGCCTTTGTATCCCCAGCACCTAACAGAGTTCCTAACCTATGCTAAGGGTATGCTTGCTCTGTGGAAAGAGCCCAAGCTTTGGAATCAAGCAGAATGGAAAGTGTATCCTGGATCCAATACTTAATACCTGTGTCAGTGCTAACCTCCTCTATCTGGGCCTCAGTTATTTATCTATAACATGGAATAATAACACCCACCTCAGAGAGTTGTTAGGAGAATCAGATAAGATTGTTGTACCTGCGTTTTTTAGCCAAACATGGATCTTATTGTAACTTGAAAATTGAACTTTTTATATTTGCTTTTAGGCATCCTCCTCTCCAAGTGCCTCTTGGCTAGCACCTTTATAAGACAGAACTCCCTCCCCCAGGCTTCAGGCACCACTGAGGGACTTTAATAACTTTCATTATATATTAGCCAGAGGAAGGGGCAGAAATATATGTGCGTACTCAAGAGTTGGACCATTGCCTATTCTGCTGGTTTCCCTGGAAGGGAATTGAAGGGTTGTGGAACTGAAGGCCCTGGGATACATATGTGAGGGAATCCGTGGGATCTGGGAAAGATAATCATATAAAAAAGAAATGCTGGGTCCACAAGTTCAGTATGAACCTGCATTGTGATGTATCTGCCAAAAAAGGGTGAGTGGAAGCTCAGATTACATTAACAGAATTATAGAGTCTGGAAGCAAGAGAATGATGGTCCTTCTTTACTCCCAGTTGAACAGAATGCATCAGCTGTCACAGCTCAGAGGTAACATTTTAGCATCCACTCCACAGGTTCCCAACTTTGGGTTCCAAATATATCACCCAAGGGTCCCCAAATATAGCAATGAGGATTCTTGAGCAATTTCCAATATTTCAAAGGTTTTACTGGGACCAAGTTTCTTTGTTTTGAGCTAGAATTATATTAGTCCAAGGAGGGTAATTAGCACGGGCTCTTTCCTGCTAATCAGAACTCTTTAATAGAAAATGGGAGGTGGGGAGCTAGTACCTAATAAAGGCAGTCTATTATACAGACAGAATCCTTTACAATTTGGAATTCCAGGGAAAAGAAAGAGAAAAACAAGACCAGCCCTACTTTCTACCCCATTTTATAGAATAGTAACTGAGATCCAGAGAGGAGAAGTTAGCCCAAGGTAGCACAATGATTTAATATCAGAATGAGGATTTGAGCCAAGGTTTTATAGCTCCTTGGGGAAGCCCAAGGATTCCCCCTGAGCCCTGACTGCCAGCTGCTCAGAGACCCACAATTTCAGAGGAACTTTGACCAATCAGAAGGTGATCAGAGGAAGGTGACCAGCTTGGTCTGAGAAACAGATTTATGTGAGTATCGGCTGAAGAGCTGGGGACATTTGGCCTCAAGCAAAGGAGTCTCAGGGTTCACAGCCTAGGACTTCCAGTCTCTGCAAGGCTACCCTGGGGCGCGAGGAAGAGACATTTTGAGAGAAGCCAGAGAACAGAGTTGGGATCAGTGGGGGAAGCCATAGGAAGGCAGATGTTGATTCAATAAAGATGGGTCTTTCTTAGAATAAGACCTGAAATACTTTTGTAAAGTGCACCCTCATCACCTTGGGTCGTATTTAGTTCATCATTTGTAACTCTTGGTTTAAAAAAAAAAAGACCACCCCCAAGCCTGGAAGGTAACCAGGAAAAGGCTAAATGTGGGATTCAGTGAAAGAGATTCTTGCATCGAATAGAAGATTGAACTAAATCCTGTACCAAATGGAATGCCTTAAAATGCAAGCTTAAATAACAAAGGATCCAAAAACAAAAAAAATAACAAAGGATCCCAAAGAATCTGCAAAACAGACACAGAGAGATGCACAAAACAACCTAATAAGTGCATTCAGCATGGTCATAGTATATAAGGTCAGACCCAAACATCAATTGTATTTATATATACCAGCAACAAACAACTGGAGAGCAAAATTTTAAATATAATATCATGTATAGTCACTCTGAAAAAAAATGAAATACTCTGGTATAAAACTAACAAAACATGTACAGGAGCTATACAATAAAAAATACAAAATGCTAATGAAGAAAAGCAAAGAAGACTTAAATAAATGGAGCTAGAACACATATTAAACACAATGAGATACCACTTCTCATCTATCAGAACCCTAAAGTAAAAACACTGACAATCCAAAGTGAGGACATGGAACAGCTGGATCTCTTATATACTGCTAGTGGGAATTAGAATGGTATAGCCACTTCAGAAGACAGTTTGGTGTTTTCATAAAGTTAAACATACTTACTATATGTATTAGTTTCCTATGGCCACTGTAACAAATTACCACAACCTTGGTGGCTTAACATAATAGACATGTATTCTCTCACAGTTCTGGGGGCCAGAAATTCAAAATCAGTTTTGCTGGGCTGAAATCAAAGGCTCCATGGGCGAATCTGTTCCTTACGTCTTCCAGTTTCTGGTGACTGCCAGCATTCCTTTGCTTGTAGCTATATCACTCCAATCTCTACCTCTGTCCTTACATCACTGTCTGTGAGTGTCTATCTCCCTCTGCCTTTCTCTCTTTTTAAAAAATATTTATGTATGTATTTATTTATTTATTTGGTTGTGCCGGGTCTCAGATGCAGCTTGCGGGCTCCTTAGTTGTGGCTCATGGGCTCCTTAGTTGTGGCATGCATGTGGGATCTAGTTCCCTGACCACGGATCAAACCCTGACCCCCCTGCATTGGGAGTGTGGAGTCTTATCCACTGCACCACCAGGGAAATCCTTGCCTTTCTCTTATAAGGGCACTTGTGGTGGCATTTAGGGTCCATCCAGATAATTGAGGATAATCTCATCCTCATGTAATTTCATCACATCTGCAAAAACCATATAAGGTAATATTCACAGATTCCAGAGATTGGGACCTGATATTTTTGGGGGTCACCATTCAACCCACTATACCATACAAAACAGCAATCACACTCCTAAGTGGTCCTAGAGAAATGAAAATGTGTGTCTGCACAAAAACCTATATACAAATGTTCTTAACGAATGAACAATGTCAATACACATAACAATTTGAGTAGATTGCAAGGGTATTAAACAGAGTGAAAAAAGCCAATCTCAAAAGTTATACACTGCATAATTCCATCTATATAACACTTCTTAAATGACAAAATTATAGTGTGGAGAAGGGGTTAGTGGTTACCAGAGTTAGGTTTAGGAGGAAGGTGTGACTATAAAGGGGTAGCATGAGAAGGTTTCTTTGTGGTGATGGAACAGTCCTTAATCCTGATTGTGGTAGTGATTATATAAATCTACACATGTGATAAGCTTTCATAGTACTATACACCAAAAAAACAGTCCATATAAAAATGGGTAAAATTGAATAGGATCTGTAGTATAGTCAATTGTACTATGTCAATGGCAGTCTCCTAGTTTTGAAATTACTCCATGGTTATGTAAGATGTTATCATTGGGGAAAGCTAAGTGAAGGGTACAATGGAACTCTCTACTATTTTTGTAACTTTTTGTGAGCCTTAAATTATTAAAAATAGAAAGTTCAAAACAAAACAAAACAAAAAAGGAATTTTTTGGCTCTGTAGATGAGAAGTCCAAAAGTAGGATGAGCTTTAGGAATGGTTTCAATAGAAGTTCACAATGTCCTCATGCTTGTGGCTTTGTCCTCTGAGATTCTCTCAGCTCTGCCCTCTATCTTGTGTTGGCTTTCTCCTCAGACTGATTTTTCCCATGGTAGTAAGTTGGCTGCCAGCAGTCCTTGGGACTGTGTGCTTTTTGTTCTCATCTAGCCAGGAGGAGAAAGAGGGAGCTATCTCTTCCTTCAACCAGGAGGAAAAAAAGGCCTGACCTCTACCCTGATTGGACTACCTCAGGTCCTGTGCCCACCCTAAACCAATCACTGAACCCAGGGAAATGCTATGCACTGATTTCTCATCCCTGTAGCAAAGGAACAGGACTACTTGATGGGCTGGGATCAATCAGGCCCCCCTGCTGGAGCTGAGATGAGGCCAATCCTACCCAAACATAATTGCTATTACTGGGTGGGAAGAGGTGGAATGGATGTTGTGTAGCCAACTCCAATGTCTCATACAGCCTCCTTTTTTTTTTTTTTTAATTTAATTATTTATTTATTTTTGGCTGTATTGGGTCTTCATCGCTGCGAGAGGGCATTTCTCTAGTTGCGGCGAGAGGGCATTTCTCTAGTTGCGGCGAGCGGGGGCTACTCTTCATTGCAGTGCGCAGGCTTCTCATTGCGGTGGCTTCTCTTGTTGCAGAGCACAGGCTCTAGGCACGTGGGCATCAGTAGTTGTGGCACGCGGGCTCGGTAGTTGTGGCGCATGGGCTTAGTTTCTCCACGGCATGTGGGATCTTCCCGGACCAGGGCTCAAGCCCGTGTTAACTGCATTGGCAGGCGGATTCTTAACCACTACGCCACCAGGGAAGCTCTACAGCCTCCTTCTTGAAATTCACTCTTCCCTTGGTTTCAGAGGCACCATTCATCCTCGGTCTCTTCCATCAATGGGTTTTAAAGCATAGGAGTTTTCTAGACAAAGAAGGTATAAAATGTCATTCCAGGCAGAAGTAACAGTAAAAGCAGAGACCCAGAGATGTGAAGGAATGGACCCATTCAGGGAACAATGAAATTTTGGTATAATAAAGCATAGAGTTCTTGAGGGAAGAGTAGTAGTAAAAACTAGAGAAGGGATGATGGGGCTAGTACAAGAAGAACCTTGAATGCACCTCAAGGATCACATTGAATGCTTTTGAGAAAGAGCAGTACATGGACTCACTTCACCTTAGAAAGATCTCTCTGGACTTCCTTAGTGATGCAGTGGTTAAGAATCCGCCTGCCAATGCAGGGGACATGGGGTTCAAGCCCTGGTCCGGGAAGATCTCACATGCCGCGGAGCAACTAAGCCTGTGCGCCACAACTACTGAAGCCCGCGTGCCTAGAGTCCGTGCTCGGCAACAAGAGAAGCCACCGCAATGAGAAGCCCACGCACTGCAACAAAGAGTAGTCCCCGCTCGCCGCAACTAGAGAAGGCCCGTGCGCAGCAACGAAGACCCAACGCAGCCAAAAAATAAAAATAAAATAAATAAAAAGATCTCTCCAGCTAGAGCCTGGAAGGTGGACTGGAGGGGACCCAGCCGAAGGCTGTTTTGCCTGGGCAGAAGAAAATGAAAGCCTGACCTAGTGTGGTGGCCTGGAGGATGGAGAGAATGGGTGGATATGGCAGATAGTGATTTGGTGGAATCAACACGACCTGGTGAATTGCTTGACTTTGGAAAGGGGGAGGGGGAGGAGGTGTGAGAGTTGACTCACATTTCTGGCTTGAACACTTGATATACTTTTTATCCAAGAAGGGAGGAATGCTTAATTGTGTGAAATGCTCCCGATAAGCCAAGGGAGACAATAACTTATAAGTAACCATGGGATTCAGTGACAAAAAGTTTTAGGTTCTGTTGAGGGCAGAAACCAAGTAAGCTGCAGCAGAATAAGTCATGAATGGGAAGTGGGATATAATAAGGCCAAGTGAGCTTCCTATCAAGCTCGGGTATAAAAGGAGGAGAGGATTAAGCAGCCAGTGAAGAGACTCATGAAATCTATTCTTAAAGCAGAGAATAATATATGTTTTTAAAATTTCCAGCACTTCCCTGCAGGCTAGCTGTGTAGTAAGCCTGTATCTTCACCTATAAAATGAGTTTTTGTTTGTTTGTTATGTTTTTGTTTTTTTTACGTCTTTATTGGAGTATAATTGCTTTACAGTGGTGTGTTAGTTTCTGCTTTATAACAAAGTGAATCAGCTATGCATATACATATATCCCCATATCCCCTCCGTCTTGCGTCTCCCTCCCACCCTCCCTATCCCACCCCTCTAGGTGGTCACAAAGCACTGAGCTGACCTCCCTGTGCTATGTGGCTGCTCCCCACTAGCGTATATACACTACCAAATGTAAAATAAAATGAGTTTTTTTTTTTTTTTTTATTCCACTTTTAAAAAATTTATTTAATTAAAAAGAATACATTTATTTATTTACTTAGTCTGCGCTGGGTCTTAGTTGTGGCATGCGGGATCTTTGTTGCGGCATGCTTGCGGGATCTAGTTCCCCAACCAGGGATCGAACCAGGGCCCACTGCATTGGGAATGCAGAGCCCTACCCACTAGACCACCAGGGAAGTCCCTATAGTGATGGTTTTAAAGTATGAGCTTTGGCTCTACCACTAACAAGCAAAGTAGCTTTCCCCTGCATCGGCAGGCGGACTCCCAACCACTGCGCCACCAGGGAAGCCCTAAAATGAGTTTTTAATAGTACCTACCACACAGGTTTATGGTGAAGGTGAAGTCTTCATATGTACTAACAATTGTTTATTGTGTCTCCCCCATTAAACGTTAAGTTCATGAGAAACATTGACAGCTCCTACTTCATGATGTGGTATATTGTTAATGAATATTTGTTAAATGAATGATGCATTTAAGACTCTGAGCACAATCCTGCCCAAGGTAAGCACTCAGGGAAGTTCAGCGTGTATGATCCTGATGGAAAGAAGGGCTGCAGGAGGAAGCCCCATGCCCTCGGCTTGCTGTTTTCCAGACCCTGATGAGGTACTGCCTGACCGCCAAGGTGGGAACATGGGCAATTCAGTGGAGGTGCCCGGAGTGAGCCCTCTCGGGCAGAGTCATCCTTCCTGAACCCATGGCTGGACTGCAATGGAGAGCAGGCTGTGGACCCCAAACGCCTCCTCCAGCACTGCTTATGGCTACAGTGACAGCCGGTGACATTCCGGGCAGCCCTGAGGAGGCCCCTGTCCCCAGTCTAGACCCAGCTCCACAAACACCCAAGCTAAGCTCTTCTGGATTCTCTCTTCTTGGTAAAAAGGTGGGGCTGGGGATAATCAAAGGGACTTTGGAACCTAGGGGCATAAATGAGGGCTTTTCCAAGCAAACCCACTCAGGTCTTACTGTGGATCCAGCCGTAGTGCTCTGCCTGGCCCACTGTGGGCCGAAGGGAGTTTAGACATGGGTCCCCGGTAAAATGGTTGTAACAACTGCAGGCGATCAGGGAGAAGCCTGGGGGCTGTGGAGACTCAGAGGAGCCCCTCACCTAACCTGGGGAGTCAGAGAATTCGGACCTGGTCTTCCTGCCACAGAGCAGATGTACTTAGGAAGCCCAGGGAAGATGACCAGGACCCAGGGGCAGGTGACTCGTGCCCCTCCAGCAGCTCTGTGTCGCTCCTGGAGTGAGTCCCTTGCCAAGGAACAGAAGGAGAGGGAGTGTAGAGTACATACACAGGGCCCAGCCATGTTTAATATCATTCAGTTCCTCGGGTGAATGAAAGAGTAAATGATCGCGTGAGTGAGGGAACAAATGGTTAATAGGCTCCACAGTGTGGCCTGGATAAAGTCCCTTAGTCTATCTGAGCCTCAGTTCCCTTGCAGGGTCATGGTGAGTGTTCAATGAGTTGATGGATATGAACTCTCTTACTAAACATAAAAGTGCTACAAAAACTCCAAAAATTACAGGTGAGTGTTTTTCAATATAACTTAGTAATTAAGAGCAGGGACTCTGGAGCCAAATGCCTGGTTTAAATCTGGTCCCTGCCCTTACTTGCTAAGTAACATTTGTGCCTAATCATCTGTACAAGCAGGGATAACAGTAATATCTACCTCGTAAGGCTTGGGGGAGGATTAAATTACTTAGTCCATGCAAAGCATCACACTTAGAACAGTGTTGGCTAACGGAAAGCATTGTGTTAGCTATTATTATTGGTTTTTAAAAATATTATTAGTCTGATAGCAAAGGAATCTTAGCAGGATGCTGACTGCCTCCCCTCTCTCCCAGCTGCTCTCCTTATCTCAATTTTGGCAATGACTTTAGGCTTTGCCTTGGGGGTGCAAGGCAAAGATGGGGAGACTCAGTAGCCACTGAAGGCAGTTCTTGACATTTCTGACAGTGATACAACTCACTACTGGATTTGGCAACAGTGAAAGGGTCACTCTTAGATATCTGTGCATGGGGCCTGAACCAGCCAAGGGTATATGATGGGCGGCAAGGCAGGGTGAGTCACCTCAGAAGTGCCCTAGGCTGCGAATCGAGAGATTTGGGTTCTGGTCTGGTCTTGCTTTTTTTGTGGTCTTGTGTGTGTGTGTGTGTGTGTGTGTGTGTGTGTTATTCTCAGCACTCTAAACCCAGCACCTTTGTCCCCTTATTGTACATTCCGTGGTGTCTATCCTGTGCCAGGACCTGTGCAGGTTACCAGAAACAACAGGGAATCAGCCACAGCTCCTGCCCTCAAGGGGTTCAAGTGGAGGGTGAGGTGGGCACACAAAAGGGCAGTGGACCCAGTGGTGGCCCCTCATGCAGCTGGAGGGAGGAATAGGTGATGTCTGAGCTGAATCATCAAAGATGAGTCAAAGTTTCCAGGTGAGACAGAGTCAGAAGAAATTATGGCCAGAGTACAGCCTGTTCAAAAATGAGAGAGAGCCTAGCACAGCCCAGGAATTGCAAGTTATTTGTTGTACAGAGAGCTTAGGGTACCTGTGTGTGTGTGTGTGTGTGTGTGTGTGGCAGGAATGGGTGATACGTGGGAGATTTAGTCACTGATGCTCTATGTGACCTTTCACAGCACAGATCCTGTCTCTTTCCTTGGTACCCCCATTAGGAAAATTCAGTTTTTCTCAGGACACTTTCTGTGCTGGCCTTCTGGCAGGTTACAAGGAAGAATCCTATAAAGACCTTATTTTAAGGCTGTTCATGGTCTGTTAGGGGGAGATGATCTGTAAATTCTAAAAACTCAGGTGGTCATCAGTGGCCTAAGCCCGTGGTTCTCAAACTTCAGCCTGCATCAGGATCAGCTGGAGGACTTGTTTAAAACACAGATTGTTGCTCCCTGCCCCCACCCTGCCCTCAGAGTGTCTGATTGGGTAGGTCTGGAGTAAGTCCTCAGAATTTGCATTTCTAACTCGTTCCAGGTGATGCTGACGCTGCTGGGCTGGGACCACCCTTTGAGCACGACCGGCCTGGAAGAATAAAGAGAATTCGGAGCTGGGGAGGCTAGGAGGAGACCTCACACTGAGCAGGGCTGAAGGCCTGGTAGGTTTTCCCCAGCCAGAGCCTCTGTGGATGGGGTGGGGATAGGTGGAAAATAGATTTCTGTGCTGCCTCTGCTGACCTACACATCTCAGGCCCCATAAAGCTCCTCCCCCACCCCCCTCCAAAAAAGCTACATCTCATCGCCCTTGTTCAGCTTCTCCCGTTTGAATTCAATCAGCCCCCAGAGCTGGCTCACAATGGGGTTGGCTTGCCTCAGTCCTAGGTTGGAAACAAACTGCCCAACCGGTGGTGCAAGAACCTCCTCCCCCAAGGCAGCCAAGGAGGAAGGAAGCCGGGTGGGCTGACGCACAGACAGAAATAGTCTGAGCTCACCGCTGCTCCCAAGCACACATTGACCGGCAATTATTTCTTGTAAATTGCTTTCCTGGTTATGTTCCGAACATGTGTGTGTGCCTGCCTAAGAACAAACACTCAGGGCAAGGGGTGGAGGTGGCTCACTGGGGAGAGGGCTCTAGATGGAGTGGAGCCCAAGTCTCAATCTTCGGCCAAGAATTAGGGAACTCTTGGATCTTAGAACTTGGAAATATTAGAACGTTCCACTCACCTTTATGGCACTCCTGTCAGGTGGTTTTCTAGCCTGTCCTCAAATATGCACATTTGTTTGTTCCTTCAACATTGATTGACAATGATTCTCTGCCAGGATCTGGGCTAAATGAAATCCCAGTCCCCATTCTCAAGGAGTTCGTGGCTATGGCATCTATGGGAGATCCCTAACCCAGCCAAAAGCTTCAGGGAAGGCTTCTGGAGAAAGTGATGCCCGAATTAAGTCTTGAAGGATCCACTGATGGGGGAACCGGAGTTTGTGGTACAAGACGGAGAATAGCATTCAAGGCAGAGGGAACTGATACACAAAACCCAGAGCTAAGAGACAGCATATGATGATTTCAAGGAACAAGAAATAGTTGGGTTTGGTGAACACTACAGTCAAGGTGAGGGACGGTGAGATATGAAGCTGGAGGGATATACGGGCCAAGTCCTGAAGTCTTTGCCACATCAAGGGGCTTGGGCTTCATCCTCCCAGCAAGGAGGAGCCATAGGAACGGGTTTAAAGCATTGGAAGGAACTCGGCACCTTATGCGATAGTTTTTTATGTTCTTTATGACACTGAAGTAAAATTTGCCACCAGGAGCTCTGCTTTCAGGACCTATTCAACAGCTGCCCCTTTGGTTCCTGAAATGTCAGAAGTCTGATGGACAGTGATGGATCATGTGCCCACAAGAAATGGCTCAAGCCTTGGACATCTCTCGTCAGGAGGAGGCCATGCCACTGCCGTTTCGGACACTGCTCCTCCTGGTCTATGTCCAGTTAGCTCAGGGGCCAGAGTATAGGCAACCAAAGCCCAGGGCACAGGCCAGAGCCCAGGGGAGCAACATGCCTTGCTCTGTCCCAGAGACCTGGGATGCTTTCATGTGTGGAACACTCACAAGGGTGTGAGTGGCTCCCTGCATACCTTCTTCATACCTCACAGGATCAAGGCCATCCAGAGTGGGTGGTCCACTCAGGGAGTGGTTTTTGTTGTTATTATTTTGGGGTTTTTTTTTGTCTGCACCATGCAGCATGTAGGATCTTAGTTCCCCCACCAGGGATCGAACCTGAGCCCCCTGCATTGGGAGCGTAGAGTCTTAACCACTGGACCACCAGGGAAGTCCCAGGGAGTGTTGATTGAGGATGTGCTGTGAACGCCAGCACTGTGACAAGCCTTAAGGGATAGACGATGCAGCCCTGCCCTTAGGGAATTACTCACTAGGGATGAAAAGTAGTTTTGACCCATGAAATCCCTAGAGAGCCGTAAGATTTTTAAAGCAAATGCCAAGCTGTGGGGTAAAAGGCTGTTAGAGTTGCAGAGATTCTAAAACAGGAGAAAAGGAGTAGTTTGGACGCCTTTGTGGAGGAAGAGGGGGTTGAATTTGACCTTGATGGACCGTGGCAATATCTGAAGGGTCTCAGTGAGGCAGAGGAAGTGTTCTATAACGTCAGCTTTATATTTAAAGAGGGTACTACTTGTGGCTCCAAGGGCTTTGGACGAGTAGGCTCTTCACCACCCCACCCCCAGCCATAGTCATTCAATAAACTACACTTAATATGTTTTGTGTGCCTTGCCCTCAGCTCTAGGAACAAAGAAATGAATCAGTCATAATTCCTGCCCTTGGGGAGTTCTCAGGCTATTGGGGAAAGACTGATAGGTTAATACACAATTACAATAGTTTGGAAAGTGCTATGATTTCTTTTATTCATTCATCGGTTGAAAGATGGCTTATCACTAAGATAGGTCATACAAGCCTACATGGCATTGCATTAGTGCAATGTAACTTTGCCACCCCTCCCATCCAGTACTGGAATGTATTTTTCCATCCTTTCTTTCTGTGCCGACTTTGCAACTTGCTTTGACAAACAGCAAGTGGCAGAAGTGACACTGTGCTATTTTGAGTTTAGGCCTCAAAAGACCTTGCAGCTTCCTCTCTCACCCTCTTGGAATGCAATGTCACCATGTAAGGAAGCCTGGGCTAGCCTGCTGGCAGATGAGACCATGTAGAATATACGTGAGCTCTCCACTGAGGCCCCCAGGCCAACCAGCTCCCAGCTGAGCTACCAGATAACTGCAACTACCGAGTGACCCCAGGTGAGATCAGCAGAAGAACCGCCAGCTAAGCCTAGCCCAAAGTGCCAATCCACAGACTCATTAGCAAATAAGTGGTTACTGTTTTAAGCCATATGTTTTGGGCTAGTTTTTTACACAGCAATAGATTACTGGTATAATTCTTTTCACATATTTCATTACAATTGTGAATATACCTGTCTTCTCCGTTTTTTGATAAGCCCCTCATTAGAGGAAAGAAACGTCTTTTGCTGTCTTCTGTTTACCACTCCAGACCCACTCTCCATATCTTAGAAGGATGATTTGTATGGTTTACATTAAGGCACTACTGTGCCCTTTGGATTCTGTTAGGGTTTGGTCAACTAAAGTCCCAGCAGACTATAAATTCCCCTGGCTTCCTCCCTGAAGTTACATCATGGGCTGGCTGCATCTCTATAGGAAGGACATAGCTCCTGTCACACTGTCCTTACCACAGCTCTCTTTGACTCCAGATTCTTGTAATTTCTCCCTCCTTGCTCCTTTAGGCCTAAGGGTAGTAACTAGTGCCCTAACATTACTTGCCCTATTCCTTGTCCCTGTATTACATAATCCCTTTATTAAACTCTTCTCAAATTACCCAATTTGAGAAATGCCATCTATTTCCTCCTGACACCCTGATTGATAGTGTTGTATTAATTAATCTATCCCAGCTGCCAGCTATCTCATGGTATATGCTCAATAAATGTCATTTGGTGAAGGAATAAACATTCCAAGCGATCTGCTGTTAGAGTTATACTTTGGTCAGAAAGACCTGGGTCTGGATCTTGGCTCTGTGGCTTCCTAGCTGTGTAGCCTTGGCCAAATTTCTTCACTCCTCTGAGCCTCAGTTTCCTCATATGTTAAATAACAAATAGCAAAACTGCAGGATTGTTGCTCAGATTGTATTGATAGATAATGTTTGTAAAACCTGTGGATCACAGTAAATGATAAGTATGACTTTGGTGAGGAGGTAGGAAGGATTTCATAACCATTCTCCCATTTGATTTTCACTACACCACTATCCCCATATTTTTTTAGCAAAGTAAGACCAAGGAACCAAAAACAACCTGCCCAAGGCCACACATTGAGCTGGAGGTAGAGTCAGAATTTGAATCCAGGTCTCTGACCCCCAGTTCAGTGCTGTTTTTGCCATACCAGCTGAGGAAGAGGCATGACCTCAGCACACCTTCCGTCCAGTAAGCCAGCTGGAAAAGCAAACAAAAACAAAGTGGGCCCTCCTAGGAGAAGCCAGCAGGGGGTCACCTGCCCCACCCTCTTCTTCAACAAAATTTTTTCACCTTTTCCAAGAAAAGGTCTTGGCCCCTGCTGCCTGCCTCGCTGCCCAGCAGGAGCCTTGAGAATGAAATCATCCTTCTGGAGACTGGAGATGGAGAGAAATCATGCTTGGCTGGGAAGCCCCAGGACATGGATGCAGGGCATTTTGTAGGGCAGCTCAAGGCACTAGAGTCCTCCCCCTCACCTGCGCCTACTTGGGCGCCCTTTTCCTCACCTTTCCCTCACCCAGGGCTTCCTTCTCCAGCAAGCCTTCAGCCCTCCGTGAGTGAGCCCTTCTCTGAACTATCACAGTACCTGGCACATAGTAGGTGCTCTGTAAACCTTCTGGAACAAAAGAATGAATGTGTTCATTTGCATAAACATTCATTCCACAAATACCAGATGTCTCCTCTGTGCCTCCCCATGTATTGGGCTGGAGGACACAAAGACAAATCAGCCCATGCCTCACAGACTGCATGATCCTCCTCTCAGTATTCACCACCTCCAGTGTGTTTACTAATAGTTTGATCAAACACTGTCAGAGCTCAAAGGGCCCTTGGAAACCTACCCTTTCAACTGTCTCATTGTATAGACGGGGAGACCAAGGTTCAGAGAAACAACATTCTGGTACAGAGAAGAGCAAGGATCAGAGGTCGGCACAGCTGGGTTCGAATGCCCGCCCTGCCAGTGACTTGCTGGTGCCACTCGACCTCTCTCTGGACCTGTGTGTAACGTGAGCAAAGGAGCAACGTGCACTCGGCACAGAGGGCTGCTCGAGTGCAGAGCTCTGTCTCCGAGAAGGCCTTTCTCCAGGGAGGAGGGAGCTTTCTTTGTCAAACCTTCATTTTCAAAACCTCCTGCTCCGGGTTCTCAAGCCCCGCCTCCTCTCCTGGCTGCCGTGCGTTACCATGGAGACTGTAAGCCCCGCGCAACACCCTGCTGTTCCGCACCCCTCCCCCTTCACCCTCTCTTTAAGCTGTTTCTCCTGTGGCTGCAGATCTCCCCCAGGGCTGATAAACTCCCGAACTT